AAAGGCATGAAATATATCATTAGAAGAATCTGCAGCATTGCATCTAGTGTGTGGGTTGTGTTTCTGGAAGCTATCATGTGTAAAATCAACTTTTGTAATAGAGCTGTGGCTTAGTTTGCTCGTTATTTTGGTTGCACAGAAAGATTGGTGTCTCAGAAGACCATCTGACAGCCCACTGGGAACTATTAGCATCCTGACTGCACACCTACAAATGTAAATGAATACTTAGCTGGAATCAGGATACTTAAAAAACACAATATGTTGATTGCTGGGGTAAATGAACTGCTTTCTTGCTTTCCCAAAGAAAACATCTTATTTTCTCTGTAGCAGAAAGCAGGATGTTATGATTCAGTACCACAGGCTAGAGATTGTGCCCTATTCAAGTGAGAAGTAGCAGGAGAGAAATTCTTCTTTAAAGTGATGGCGGTATTGTTTAGATGTGCTTGATAATAAAGAAGGTATAAAATGCTGTCTTAACTCTGCAGTTTAAAGTAATCCTTTTGTTTACAAATCTGTACAACAAAAGCCACAGGGCTCATACTAAAAACCATAACAGCAAGCGAGGAACTGGCAGGAAGGATCTGGAAAGAGGTTTGAGATAGTTGCAGGATGACTACAGCACTTAAAACTGGAATGTGATGGAGCTGGGCTCAGTTCTCTGATCTGCCACTGGTTGCCTTCACTGCAGCACCACAGATGGAATCCAGGACCTAAAGCCAGAATTTGCACAGGATGCAGGGGAAGGTAGACATTTTGGGACCAAAAATGCCCACGTGCTAGCGAGTCAGTGAGGAACTGCTAGGAGGAAGTGGTGAGACTACGTCTTAATATTCTGCCCATGCTCAGTCCAAATGCACCTCCCTGTGGCTGGGAAACCAGAGCCTTGTTCCATTTGGGAGCTCACAGAAAAGTGCCAACATCTGTTTCTAGGGAGGACTAGCTAGGACTTGTTTTTTTCTTTAGCTGCCAGAAGACGTGTTGAGACCAACAGCTATGTTTTATAAAATGGCCTGGTGTTTAAAACACCCGTTGCTCTGGAGGTGTGTGTCCACTGTATTCCTTGGAGTGAAGATTCGGGCTCCCACCTGCCACAGAGTGCTCTAACCACAGTGTGAGGCCATGGTGGTGGAGGAGGAAGGCTCCTCTCACTCAAGCTGTGCCACTGTGGAGCAGACAACTGAGGGAGAGCAAGTATCAGGGCAGACCTAGCGGTTGTGCTCCTGGGAGAGGCATTCTAGGTCCTGTTTCCCACCCTGAAGCTTTGTTCTGTATTTTACCCTTTGTTTAATAGGAAACACCTAAACCCTGCTTCTGTTGGGGGCCTGAAAGACAGGGTTCTTTCTGCAAACTGATTTCCGAAACCATGAGGATCTGGGTTCATAAGCATCCTTCCCTGTGCCAAGATCTAATCATCGAGCTCTATCCTTCACAATGGCTGACTTACTGACTGCAGCACTGAACACATTTTGTTGGTGTGTGCTGGGGAATGTTCTTGTTACCTGTTCGTTCTCAGGATGTGCCCTAGACTTTGTTATCTAGGTTTATTATGTGAAGACTTTCCAGCAGCTTAGAGCTGATGCAGTGCATTTTAAGGGTTTACACAGTAGCAACTCTTTCAGTAGCCAGAGTCACTTTCAGTCACCTCGGCACTTTGATTATTTCAACAGGATTAAGCTTTCTTAGTATTTGGCTACCAGAGGGTGGAAAAAAATCTCTCCTACCCCAGCAACTGTAGTGGAAGTAATCTCATACAAATAATCTTGTTATGGTCTGAAAATCATGCCTGCATTCCAATATCTTAATGAGTAGTTTCAGTTCGAGCTCTTCCTTTTCTCCAGCTGTTACAGTCACCCTCTCTTTAGTCCTCACTCTCTCCATTATTTCCCCGATACAGCCAGTCTGATTCGTCTGGATGGATCCTTCACAGATGTATGAATGCTTCTTTGAAACCAAGTTCATTCAAGGTTGCAGACTAGTTTCCTTTCATTGTCTTCTGAGACTCCTGCCTCTGCTCCTCCCCTCCAAAACCAGATGCTGGCAGCACTGAAGACAAGCAACAGTCACAAGATAGACTCAAGAGGATTTTGGAAATGTGGTTGACATTCTGGCAGGCAAGACAGACCCATGTGGTCTGAGCACTGATGTGTTTTTTGCCCCTATACTGTCAGACAGTCATGCTGGGGCTGGTACTGAGATCTCAGCAGCCAAAGATAGCAGCAGCCATGAAAGCAAAATGTTTAATTTATTGGGAAAGCATTATTTCAATTTCTATGCCTGGAAACAGTGAGTATGGTGGGCTGACAAAAACAGTTTGCCCCTGAACAGGAGATGTGAGCTTGAAGTGGATTCTCTGCTTCTGTTCTTGGCAGAGGAAGGAACAGTCACTGAGCTGCAAACAGCTGCTTCCAGAGACAAATTTTGGAAAGGCTGATGTCAGGACTTGGCTAAGGAACAGCATGTTAGCTGCAAAAAACACAAGCCTGAGACAAAAGGCTCTTCTCAAATTGTAGCAGACTAAGTGCTAGAGACTTAGCCCAAGATATATCTTGTGCTGCATATGAGGAAGGCGAACATGTTGCTAGTGCTCCTGCTCCTCAGGTGGGGTGAGAATGGGGAGGTTTTTACCCACAGCCTGGTGGGAAAGGCCAGGTCAGGGAGGCTGTAGCCAGTTGTCAAAGGCCATGCCACCTAAGCATAAGTACCACCAGTATAGCAGTGTTAGCAATGCTGGAGCCCACACACTGCTACCAGTGTGTGGTGTGAACATGGACAAGCCACTTGTTTTCTGTCTCATAAACCCAGGAATGCTTACACCCAGCTAGAGTTTTGTGTGGAACCTAGTCATAGGGCACACACTACCACAGCTCAGTAAACAAGTTTTGTAAAGACCGCTGGAATCTCCAAGCAGGGACTTGCAGAGCACTGTCACTAGGATCATTTAAACTAATTTGGCTCCATTCTCAGAGTGGTAGCAGACCTAGGCCCAAGGTGATGGCCAGGGTGTACCTATGCTCCTTTACCAGCCCTATTGTGAAATAACATGCTTTTTTTTCTGCAGAGAGTGGTCATTTAACACCCCAACAGATATTCTCCCCACCCCTGGTGTTACTGTTTAAGTAAAATAAAAGCATAAAAAAAAGTGTATCATTACATTTTCTTAGAGTGGGTACAACCACAGAGAACCGTTTGTTTGACAGTGCAACTACTGTGGAAGAGTACACAGGGTTATTAAAGCAAATACAGTATGCAGATACTGCCAGGTTGGGATACATCAGAACACACTGCTGTGATTTTTATTGGCCTGCTCAAGGTCTGCGCCGAACCCCAACCCACCATGTACAACGTCTTCCTCAGGACTTAGCTTTGCACTGGAGAACAGAGGGCAATGCTACTGCAAGTTGCAGGAGCTCCTTGTGAACCTGTGCATGAATTCTCCACTCCTGCAGTTGTTATGTCGAAGTGAAAACTGCCTTTAGGACTAGAGACAGCAGTGTGTGGTTACAGGTAAAAAACACTTGCAACGTATCATGAAGCAGTAATGATGTTTTTTGCTGCTAACTCCATGTTTCCTGAAAAATATTGTGGGAGGCTAGGAAATACACCTGTAGTACCTGCAATGGCTGGGAAGGAATTAGCTGCTTTCCTTTACTGCATTCCAGGCATGCATGCATATGTGTGTATACACTTCATGACTCATTAACGGTCCCAAAGGAGTTGTTCTGAAGACTGGTTTCTTTAGAATGTCAATACAAAGATGATCTTGAGGTCTCTGGAAGAATTTGTAATGTCAGAAGATGTGATATCAAAAGCAGTGAGATATTTAATGCTGAGCATGGAACAGAGGATGAATCTTTTGTAGATGGTTTAAGATACAGCAGTTGTTTGTTTGCACAGGTCTAGTAACTAATTCTGTGCTGTTTTTTAAGGAATAACAAGAATATTGTTCCTAGAGATGTGGGTCTATCAGGGATAGTTAAAAATTATATAAAAGTTGCTAGTTTAAAGTGGTCATAAAGCTCTGAAAATTCCAACATCACTCAACAAGAATAAAAGGGGGGGAGGGGGAATTGTAGTTTCTATTTAAAAAAAAACCATTCATTTTGGATTCTCTTCATCATAATTGTTGTTTTAACTAAATAGGAATGAACAATTTTACTATACAAATGAATAGTCTAGAATTGTTATCACAAGAATTTTTTAATATGGTTTGTGACAAGCAATATCAAAGTTACCAACTCTCAAGCTTCATGTTCTGAAACCAGACAACTCTCAGCAACAAAAAAAGTTGTGCACTGATAAACATAGGAGGCATATTGTATTTTTTAATTAAATATGAAAACGAGCTGTGTACATTATTTTTTCCCTAGAAAACACAGCAATTTCAAAAGTTTATCATAAAATATTTTCATGAAATGAGTGAACCAGCAAACACATGCACTTGTGTGCCTTCCCCCCTCCCAAGATAAACGTGATAAGAGAGACATACGTAAATGTAGAAGTTAACAGAACAAGTGGTGTTTTGTTGTTGTTTGGTTCTTTTTGGAAAGGATGGAATGTAACATTGTGCTTGACTTTCTGTGTCACAACAAAAAATATTTGGTGCAATATTTTAACATTTTCTTTTTAAGTTTCAATCTGGTGGAGAAAAATACCTTTTTCTATAATAAAATATGTCTGTTCTTTTTAAAATGTAACTTTTTTTGCACAAAATAATTTTGTAAACTGTCATTCCAAGGGCAAGGTAGGCTGTGCCATGTCAATGTCCTCCCCCCCACTTAAAAATGTGACCCGTTATCTGAAGCAAAACAGGGAAACACAAAAAGAGCGGAGCAGAGGCTGCTTTGCAAAGAGAAAGAAGGGCGTGTTGGACGGGAGAGGGGGAGGGAGCGTGTGGTGGGACAGAAAAAAGTTAAAGGTCACTTTCACCGTAGAGCGCTGTGGAGAAGGACATGTAATCCAGGGCACCGGGTACAGCATCACGGCCATTGTAGGGTGCCATTCTAGCAATGCAGTATTCAGCCTGATCAGGAGGCAGTTCCCGCCGTAGTTCCTCCACAGTGATGTAGTTCTGCAGTGAGGACAAACGATAAGGAGAGGGTTACTTAAGAAAACTGACCTCTCTCAGAGAGACAACCACCCCCTGCCCCACCAGGGCAGCAGACAAGAGTCAGGGACAGGGCCCCAACAGCTAGACTAGTACTGTACACCCACGCAGGGAGCTCTCTGCACATACACCCTGGGGGGAAATGCAGTTCTTCCCTGCTGTTTGGACAAGAAAATGGTTTTTACAACAGACAGAAAGATTGCTTTTGCAGGAGAGGTACCAGCATACCTATGGAAAAGACCTGGACGTAAGGAAGGTAATTGTCTGTGTAAGACTGTGCCTTCCTGCTGACAGTGGAGGTCCTGCTGAAAGCAAATGGGAGGAAGCAGAAATTTCATTTGGATCCTGTCTCTCACTGGCAGGAGGTAACAGCTGCTTGTGCTGCTAGGGAGCTGCCATTCCCTCTCTTGAGAGCAAGGAAAGGAGCCTTCCCCACTAGCTCTGGCTGGTGGCACCAATGCAGGCAGCAGACAAGCAAACACTTTGTATTGCTTCCACAGTTCCCTCAGCAATGCTTGCCTTTCACAGCAGACATTTTTAATAAGCAAGAGAAACTACTATAAATTCAGCTTCTGGAGACTCGCTGAGCTGAGGTAGCTTGGCTTCTCTCCATGCAGTAGGTAGCAGTAGCTGCATGTTTGCTAACCAGTACATTGTCTTCAGGTAACTGACTCATGGGCATTTGCAGCGGGTCTGAACAGTGGTTCAAGTTTCACACCATCTCTCTCTCTTGAGACTTTTTATTCTCCCCTCTTCCCCCCAGCCCCCACCTTTCAGCTTAATGATTGGAGTAAGAGGTATTTTTCTTCATAACAAAATACTGTCTGATTCATGTTATGGTCACTAGAGCATATTAAACACTGACAAGTATATTTAACTTAGTGTACAGAGTAAAGGAGTTAATAATTTTTATCCAAAAGCACCACACACTCAGTGATTTGCTTATCTGAATAATGTGGATTTTTCAGGTCTTGAAAGAGAAGAGGACTGGCTTCAGTCATGTAGGTGCCTAAAGGACAGTCATTATGGGTTTCTACATTATAGATTATGAAAGTTTGTTAGTGAAAACAGAAACCAGTACTGTATTTAAGGGTAACTCGTTACTATCTGAGAAACGCTATCTGACATTTCAAGTGAGATGAATAAAATCATTAGTAAATACAGAGATATATCAATAGCATATGTACATATTAGTTGTTCAATTACATTAAAAAAAAAATTAGTAGGGATTGTTATATAAGAAAAACAAGGTTACATATTTTTTCTAGCAATTGGTTCCATCCATTTGATGATGCAAATTCAGGAAATTAACACCTTTAGTATCATCCTGTAAGTTTTCCTTCTTTTGACCTATTTCTATGATTAAAAGATGCTCCTCTTGCAGATACAACAATTCTTCAATGAAAATCTACTACTGCTTGTGTAACAACTGATAGTGACACCTGTATGTCTGAGAAAGGTCATCTCAAGTTTGCAACTGTCAGTAATTAATAGTTTTTCAAGACTAATCAAGACCCATCTGTTGGATTTGTTCATACATTTTAAAATAACAAATCACAACCAAACTCTTAATTAAATAAAGCAAGAGTGAGCAGCAAAGTTCTGACTGACAGCTGAACAGGATTTTCAAGTGCTTTGGCAGGCTGCTCTTTAACCCACACTTCAGCCTTGCACTCCTCCAGCACCGCACAGTGTTCCTGTGAAAATACCCTCCATGCTACACAGTGCTTCCCTTGACACTTTGTGACGAGAGAAAAGGGAAGCAGGAACAATGCAGATGCAGGAAAGGAAGGTGTGGAGGCTGACCTTATCTCCAGCCAGGATCTTGAAGGAAGCCATAACCTGGTCAGCAGTATCTGTATCTGCTGTTTCCCGGGACATGAAGTCGATGAAGGCCTGGAACGTCACTACACCCAGACGGTTAGGGTCAACGATGCTCATGATGCGGGCAAACTCTGCCTCCCCCTGGAAAACAGAGTCATGTAAGCCTGGACATTTGGGCAGCGGTGCTATGAAAGTGGGCAGAAACTGTTCAGCAACAGATTTCACAGCTAGAGAAAAGAAACCTAACAGAAATGACTTTTAGGTTTTCTTCTTCTTTTTTTTTTACCAGGATATTCTTTTTTTAACTTGGTGTTGAGTACAAATGCTTGCCACTCATTTTGTCATTTGGATAAAATATTCTCAGCTGTGCCCTAGGATAACACCCAGGCTCCATCTTGCTCGAGGACAATGCTTATTAATCAGGGATCAAAATCACAGAGACTTCAGGGAAGACACGAATTTCCCTGTACCACATGTCATGCTAGATGTCTGTAGCAATATTGGAAGATCTGCATTCCTCAAATCCTTTTACTTTCAATTGCTAAAAAACCCCTGTTACAGTTCTCTTCATCTGCCAGAACAGAAACCATCAGAAGAAACGTCTCTGGGGTCTTTAATAGTGTCTGATCCATACTAACTTGCTTATCTGGAGTGGCCCAGGGAAGCAGCCTTTATAGGAAACTTCCTACAGAGATGTTTGCTACAGAAGCCATTACCTTGCAGTGTAGTTTAATGCCTTTTTTTGTGTGCGTGGTTTTTTTTTTTGTTGTTGTTTTTGCATATAAACAAAGTATCATCTGTTCTTATCTCTGGGACTCCTTCTTCCCCATGTAAGGAGAAGGGGAAAGCAGAGCTGAGTCTTCTGGGAACAGGCTCTTCTAACACATCTAGGACTGTATACTTTTAAGTGTAATTGCAGTATCTAATCAAATGTTACTGCTACTTGGCATGCTACATTGAAGGGTCTGTATTTTTACTGGGCTGATGAGTAAGGTGTATAAACACTGCTTTGCCTGACATCAGAGTAAAAGGCACTAAGAGCACAGGTGAATATTTCTGCACTATGATCTTCTGCCTTTTGATAAGCATCCCTTTTCCTATTTCTGTTAGTTATCGTGCCCCTCAAAGTGCCACATGTTACTGTTCTGAGTATGCAGGTACTCTGGTGAGGGAAAAGGTACAGGGAGGATGACTGGAACTGAAACTTACATGTATAGAGAGATGTGAAATAAATGGTAGGAATGAGTGGAGCAGCATTTGAGTGTATTCAGAAATCAGGTTGTATACTTCCAGATGAGTTCAACTGATACTTAATGCTGGGGAGGTTGTGTGTGCTGTGCAGAGTGCAGGTACTGACACGAGGAATTTTATTGTTTCTTTCACTTGTAGCTACACAGTTTGATAAATACAATTCTTATTTGAAATACACAGGAATTAGACAATGATTTTAATCTTTTTAACTTCTGCTACAGTTGTGAGACAAGAATTTTACATGTACCACTAATGCTAGATACAACATTGCTGATTGCTCTGGAAGATAAATCTGTATATTTACCTAGATTCACTGCACATTCTGTCTATTTTTGAAGGTGCCTATAGGAATCACTTTGAACAGGAGTGACAGAGGGCTCTACATTACCATATTGTAACCCATGGAGATAAGGCAGGCTCGGAAATCTTCACAATCCATCATACCAGTCTTCTTCTACAGGGAATGATGCAAAGATGGAGAAAGCCGAGAAAGAAAGGGAGACCAGTCCAGGGAGAAATGACCCGAAATGAGAGATTACAAAGAATGAGTTTCAGGGGGGAGGAGATGGAAGGAAGGATTTACGGGACATATAAAAAACAGCAGAGAAAAAGTAGTTTGTGAACCATGAAGAAGCAAAGGTGGTTTTGGACATGGAATATTTACACACAGGGAACATATTGATGAAAAAATGAATGAATGAAAATAGCAAACAAGACAGATTGAGGGGTAGACAAGGAAAGGAATGTTAAGTGACCCAAATAAATGGAATAGTTTGAAGACATGAAAGGATTCTCCCAAGACAAACAGAGAATTAAGAAGGTAAAGATACCAAAGTACAGTTAGAGAGGAAGCAGTACAGAGAAGTGATGTGTATATAGTCAGACACAAGAACAGCAATGACAGATGGATTAAGACAAACAAGAAAAGAAAGGGAAAAAACCTGTTATTTTTTCACAGTTTAATATCTGGTTTTGTTCACCACTAGCTTTCAGTACCTGTGCATCGTTTCCAATATCGTAACCCAAGCTGATGAGACAGGCTTTGAATTCCTCAGGGCCAAGTGTGCCGGAGTGGTCCTGGTTATGCGGTGTGCCAGGCAGCAGGACATGCAGTGCCAGTGCGGTGATGGTGTGGAGCAGAAGGAAGGAGACACAGAGATCAAAGGGAGATGGAAGGACAACAAAGAGGTGCACCATGCAGTGGGTGAGGAGAGAGGGAGAAGAAGAATGACATGCAGATAGAAAGACAGGGAAGAAAAATAAAAAGTGCACAACATTAGATATCACAATGACATTTCAGGATGCGCTTAAAAATGCTCTTGGAACAGTTCCTTCTCAGAGAGCTCATCACATCTTGAGAGCATTTGAATGACAAAAACAGTTGATGCTCAGAAGCCTCAAGATCTCTATCTCCCAAGTGAGTTACTTGCATCACTGCTCATTATCCATAGTGTCAGAAGCCCTGTGTTTCACTAGTAACCCAGAGTGCAGGTAAGCAGGCAGAGGCAGTGGGGAAGCATTGCCTTGATCTTCTAGTCAAAAGTCCCACTAAAGGAGTAAGTGAGGGCAGGTATGTTTGGAACATGCCCAAGGAAGCTTAGCTGTCAGGGCATCCCAGGAACAGAAAAGGAAAACCAGCTGAAGCTCAGGGGAGCAATGTTATGGCTGTATTTATGTGGCCTGCACATGAGGTGGAGCTTTGACTGACAAAGCTATTTCAAGTGCTCAGCTCTGCAAACAGCACTACTGTGCAGAGCAGCACAACACGGCTTGGCAGCTGCTCTTCCCTTTGCTCATCCCACGCTCTCCCTGTGCTTGGATGTCCCCATCAAACTATACACAAGCTACCACAGGAGCTGAGAATCACCATCCACCCTGCAGGATTTTAGCTCAGGACAGCTCTCAAGCACTGAAAAGCCCTTGTGTGCCACCACCCTCTCTGGCCCAGATCAAGGAAGCTACAAACAGGCAAACAGGTTGGTGGAGCCAGTTCCAAGTGATTTTCCTCAGAAAATCAGCTTTTAAAGTCAGCTTTAAGCCTCCATAAATTAAATACACAGTTGAATATGGGAAACCAATGTTTTCTTCACTTGATCAGCCAGACTGTTGTGGAGGCAGGGGCAGGCAATAAAATGTAAAATCTACAGGGCTTTAATGGGTCCCTCTCTAAGA